CTACACAGACATTTTCAAACTGATACAATAAACAAATACAAAGTATTATAAAGCATATAAAGTTTCAATTCTCATTTTTCATGACTACTTCCTACCACGTAGTAGCGACTATTGGCTATTGTCATTCAATTTGTATCCTTACCACATTGAATTTCTGACTTTTATTGATGCGTTTAATTTTTTCATTTTCATCGAAAGCTTACACTTTATATATGATACAGAAAACGAAAGATATCAATATAGCTTTCATTCATGAACTCGTTCGCCATTTTCGATCATAATCTGCATATCAAAAAATTCAAGACAGATTTTATACCCAACTCCAACTGTAAATTGAATTTTAATTGAAGATGCATGGGATAGGAAATAAATATAGTGTGAAAAACTAAAAAACACGCATTTGAAGAACATCGAAATAAAAAGTTGAAAATATTTTTTTGAATAAGCTTGAAACAAAAACGAACGAAAAATACTATTATTATTGTGAAAAAAGCGGAAGGCACTTGATATACCAAAAATGTGGCACAAAACGCCCACGCTTTTTTCACATTATCACTAGTATTTTTCGTTCGTTATTATTTTAAGCTTATTTTAAAAAAAATTAATTTTGTAGTTAGTTTCGTAAGCTTTAGAAGAGTGTTTTTTAGTCTTTCTAAACATTTATTCTATCTAAACTTTGGGATCAATCAGCCGTATAGTGTTTAGAAAAATAACCATTGATATTTTTCCATTCCGGAGAGGAAGCCTGAAAATGAGCTACCAAGATCCAATGCAGCGGGCGCGCAAAGGAGGGTTACAAATAAGGCAGCAGGGGCGCGTGTTGATAAAAAAAAAAACTTTTTTCAAATGAAGAAATACATGTAAAGTGAGTTCGAAATATATCAAAGAGGTTACGTACAGCGTCATCTGCCCGCGAATAGATCAAGTAATAATGTCGATATATCAAAGAGGTTAAGTACAGCGCCATCTGCCCGTGAATAGATCAGGCAATAATGTCGATAATTCTGTCAAATACAGATCCCGAAATGAAAAGGAGAGTTACAAACAAACAAACATACATGCATACATACAGGTGAAGCTAATATAAAGCCTGTGAAAAAGAAAGCATAAAATTATCACGAATAGCCATTGAAAAAACAAACACCACAATCCATGAATATAAAAGATAAACGAGGCTTCCCAAGGCGGTTGATTACAAAGCCAAGTTTGTTTGGGTTACTTTGTTTGTTGTATGAATATAGTTTTGCTATTGATTTGCGGAGGCAAGGGCAAATGTCAGTTATTGATTTTTTTTATAGAAATTCAATTATAAGTGCTGAAAAAGATTACCAAATTGAAAGCTCTCATTTGAACGCCATTTACAGAAATTTTCAGAAATACTGTCCCCCTTTTCAACACTTCTCAGTATAGAGCAACATAGTTACAGCTTTACAAAAGCAGTATTCCACCATTTTCAATAATCAACCTTCGGTTCGCATTATTCTCTTTATGTTGCTGTAACCGCCACGGAATATTTTGGAAATATTGGATTGATATCTTGAACTGCTTTTCTGATTAAGACCGGAAAATGAATCAGAATACTGAAAAAATATAACACACATAAGATCTCAAAGTTAAAAAATGTGTAATATATTTGTAACTGACTATAAGTTTCTATTCCTGTAACTTTAATTATTGATGATTTGTTATAATTTTTGATATAACGTTATATCAATACTGTTCCAAACTTTTTTATTTGATTTATCTGCTGTTCGACGTGAAGCCATTCTTAGAGCATCTAAGTTATCGAACAGTCCATAAATTTTGGCAGCGTAGAAATTTCGACTGCGCAATGACAAAAAAAAAATCTTACTTGTTAAAAACTTTTTTGTGTGCTGTTCAGCAAAAATATCGCAATGAAGTGTGGATAAAATTAATGGACCAACTGTATAAAGCTTTTCAAATATGGATCGATTACATTCTCAAGGATGTGTGACCTCCTGTATACCATGTGTATTTGATTTGGTGGGTAGAATGGGAGAAGATCTCCACTCTTTGTTTTGCGTTAGAAAGAAGAGAATTATTCATTTTCGGTGATATCACTAATTTCATTTCAATGTCATGCGTCACTCTAAATAATCTTGTGCGGAATATGTAATCAAGAAATTCGTCAATTACAGCGGCTCCCATTGCCAATTCGTTCCACGCATGAATTCTAAAATTGATTCATTGAAATATTCAGTAAAATGGTTGAAGGTAGTAATTTGGTTGAGTGTTTTGTCAAACGTGTGTTCTGAAATAATGATAATGCTTTTCATCAACTACTTGGATGAAGATTTCGACGTTTCCATAAAATACTGTAGTCTCATGGGTTTATTGCACTTCACCTCTCATCTTTCTGTGATATCGCTTGCAACAATATTGTTCCCTTGTGATGCACTGTTTGGAACCTTTGGTGTACCTTTGGTGGGTTTTTCCCAACACCAAACCGTTGTTTGAACACCTAGACACGCGTTTTGATCACCGAGTGATCATCTTCAAGAGCAAGATCAAACAGTTTGATCTTCCTCTTGAAGATGATCACTTGGTGACCGAAACGCGTGTCGGGGTGTTTGAATAACGGTTTCTGAATGCATATTGAAATATAGGTCTTGTGGTAGTACATATCTAACAAAATCACAACATATATTGAAAACACTTTCCCAATATCGGAACATAAATTACGGTCTCACGACGAACGTTTCGCTAACCGAGTTAGCGTCCTCAGAAGATCATAATGATCTCTTGAAGACGCGCATCAAGACATCATAATGATTTCCTGAGGGCGCTAACTTGGTTAGCGAAACGCGCGTCGAGAAACCGTTATTTTTATTCTGGTGTTGGGAAAGTGTTTTCAATAGATTTATTTTAGGCCAGAGGACCCAGTACGGACAAAATCACAACAATCAAATGAAATGTTGAGAATGCCATTCACCAGTCTGATGGCAACAAGCGAATCTGCTGTAATACCTAGCGAAAGCTATGTATGGTAATATACATTCTAACTTCGGGAAGCGACAGATTTTTTCAGTTCAGAATTTCATAAAGGCCGGATCTGTCTCTCATACAATGTAAAATTATGACCAGACTGAGAGTGTTTATATAAACATTATCCATCGGCGTGTTTTGAAAAGATGCAAAGTCAGATATATTTGCCACGTAGCTGAAAACCGCTCAGGATATAGATATGGGCTCATCAATATCCCAGCTTCGAAATGGTGAGTTTTTTCAATTCAGCAAAATAGGTTTTCTTGGTAACCTCCGTCGCACGTGATCGACTGTAACAAAAATGGTTTAAGAAACGAGGGTACGTGGAATCCTACTATTCTTCCTGGCTTCTTGGAAGGCGGTGAAGAGAAATGGTTCGGAGGAGTCTTGCGAAAGCCACGAAGGGGGTTGGACACGAGATTTCGTGATGGAGGGTTCTGTGGTGTCATCCCTCAGCCTTCGAAGCTAAGGATAGTGAACTAAATAGGGAAGTTATTCTGTTTTTAAGTGCAGGGTGCGAAATTTAAGGAAAAACAGTAGCGAAATTGTAAGCCAGTATTGGGTACAGAAAAGTAGAAAATAAAATTGTTAGTGTTGAAGACAAACCGGGTCACCGAAACCTATAGTTGACCATGAACCACCGAAGAGGCGTTAGGTAAGTGTGTTTTTTTATATACTAAGCAATTTATATTGAAGAGTGAGTTCACCTATTATTTTTCCGAGTTCACTTCCTATTCGCAGATAAGTTATATTTTGTTGTGTTCCCAGTGTGGATTGTTTAGCTACAGTCGGATAACAATTGAAAAGAACGCAAATTCGAGGTTATACACCACTCTCTCCAGAGAAAAAGTAAAACTGAAAGTATTTTGTACTGGGTTGGTGCGTCTGTAATGGTTTGAGAGGTCCGAAACTTCGGACTCTCATTTTCTCTTGGACTGAAAAAAAAACTTCCACGTAGAGTAAGATGAAGTTAAGAAAACAACAAAAATTAGAGATTTACCAGTCAATCAATCGAGAAGAGAATAGTTAGTAAAAATTATTCTAACTGAGATGAAAATTCAGATCATATTCGGGATCGTACTGGAACGATCTTATGAGAGAGAACTATGAGTATGTATACCAAATGATCAGGTTTCTTTGTGCAGGAGGCCGAATTCAAGCGTCTTTGAGATTCACCTAACATCCAAAATTTGATGTGGAGAAATCCGCATCTGGTGACAGCAGCTGCCAAAATAATTAAAAAAAAATAAATAAATCAGAAAGGAGCATTCAGTCTAGCACTGGTCTAACTCCACAATTCAGACTATTTTTTCGAAGTTATTACACTACGGACACGTCCCTCTTGTACATTGCGAATAACTTTTGGAGTAATTCTGCTAATTTCGACCTTGATTCGATTAGAAAAGATCTCAATCGTAATTGATATCTGAATTTATGAATGCGATATCAGAACTTTGGCGAATTGACACCTTCACTTTTGTTATTACTCTCACTTGTCTAAAATTCTCACATGCATCACCTACAAATAAATCATCAGGCTGAAACCCATTTTCTACGCCAAGACTATGAATACCAACGTTTATAAGAGGTATCATATGACCTCCAAAAAATATATGTCATGATTATGTTTCTGCTTCAATTTTGTGAGAATTTTTTGAAACCGTCTCTGCCATAGGAAACAACATTTCATAGTCAGATTTCATTTTGGATCAATATTTGAACAAGCTCAATTCAATGACAACCATTCACTCAACTCCATGTTCCTGAGTAGAAAAACTTGTGATTTCATAAAAACATTTTATGATACGATAAAGTATGTGAAATGATTGTTTTACATCAAAATGCATTGTAAATGATAAAATATTAAAATTAAGCTGTTGATAAGGAGACGAATCCTTTTTATTTATCGTCAGTTCTCGTTAAGGTTGATCTAGGACAAAACAAACCGAGATTGTTTTAATAGTTCTTGTTGGGATATTGTGCCTTAAGTAAGTGAACTGACTTAATTTTGGAAATTTTCCCAGTGAAAAACTCAGTAGTTGTTCATTTCTATCATCGTCCGATAGTGAAAAATTACAATTTTTGGGTGTTTTGAAGACATGTAGTCAATTAATGCAATCAGTAGTCATAGAAACTGTGAGTGTCAGAGACAGTACAGTAAGAAAAATTTTACTTTCGATGATTGTGTTGTTTTTGTTTTCATTTTTGTTGTGAACATTTCAACTAGTAGCTTTGAACTTTTCAATTTTGCAAATGAATATCATCTAGAACACACCTACATTTATTTTTTGATTCATTGGTGATGAGTATCAATGTACGCGGACTGTATATGTAGAATAGGAAGGGGAAGTGTAGGCCCACAGCATTTAGGCTACATGCGACCCATTGTACATCCTCCCGAGGAGTTGGCCACCTAGGTCATCGTCCATTCTGTCCTTTCCAGGAAAGTGGATAGATCACTGGGAGACATCTCTTTTATATGGGAGGTGTAGGTCAAGACTCGCCTAACACACACTCTCTTATTGACAATAACTCCGGACACTCGCATAGGACATGCCTGACAGTTTCAACTTCCTGTTCACACATCCTGTATAGAGGTGTGTCCACTAGCCCCATATCATGGAGGTGTTTCCTCAGTTGACAGTGGTCAGTCAGAAATCCAACTGTTGAGCGTAGGTCATCGCCAGATATTTCTTCGGCATCAGCTTCCCAGGGTCGACAAGGGTCATCCTGGCGAGATTACATCCTTTGATTTCATCCCATCTCTTTAGGGATTGAGCATGGGTGTAACGTTTGACTAGTTCCGCAATTGTCGAAGTCATCAGACCGTAGATGCCACTAGGTCCTGAAATTCTTAGTCCAGCCACCGTTCAGCTTCCTTGGCTAAAGAGTCGGCAATGCAATTACCTTTACTCCTGTCGTGCCCTTCAATCCACCTTAGGATAATTTTATTATCTACCGAGGTTTTTCGCAAACTGTGTTTCCTGTGACATGAATTCAAAATTATTTCTGCATTATTTTGGTTGATAGAAAGAGCAGATATTTCAAATTTGATAGAACTGCGCTCAAGTCTAGAATTTCAGCTACTCGTTTCGAATACTGTAGGTTTCCGGTTCCATACACCGGTGAGCAATATTGTTACTTTTAAGACATTCCACAGAAACATCAATCCCATCCATCATTTGGCCGATTGTCGAGCATTCGTGTGCCTCATTATTTCTCTCGCACTCCTGGCTGTTTTCAACGGAATGACGTATACGGGGTTTGCCCGATATAGTGGGAAAAATGGATAATAATAATGAAATGAAATTGAATTCAAAAGAGAGGTAAAAACGGAACAATTGCGTTGATCATGAATTATAATTGTACGGTCCGAAAGTTTTTTGGAGTCGAGGAATGCAGCCAGTCGTATTTTTACACAATGTCTAGAATGTTGCCTAGTGTCTAGTTTATCGAAAATAATAAAAAATTCTTGAGAAAGTAATCAACTGTATAATCACAACTCCATTTAGGGACTATTTGAATTCTCATACAAAATCAGCAAACCCATAATGAGTTCATTTTGACTTTTGTCATTCAATACCATGGATTCCAGTTTAATCCCAGTTGATCATTCATTTCAGTGCATGAGTGATGAGAAAAGGAATCGATGATCTTGACGACATACTGGAAGAGATTGGAGAATTCGGAATATATCAGATTAGTATCTTACTTCTGCTGTGTTTGCCAATTACCTTCGCAGCTTCCAACAGCTTCAGTTACGTTTTCACAGCCGGAGTTCCCAAATACAGGTTAGTTCTCCTTTGAATGAAATATGACTATATTACTCTTTCCATCATTCTTGATTTGGACGATTGAAAATTGAAATACTTATGAGTATACAAACACGATGTTATCGAAGCATGTCAATAGTTGTATACGGAAAACCAAAAATGGTCAACAAATATGCCTCAAAATTTCAGTAGGGTGTGAATTTTCTATTTCAGAATGTAGTACTGAAAGGACGGAAACGGTTTTTCAATTCATCCAGTGTCACTGTCTTTCTGGCAAGTTGTGTGAACAATAATTCAGCTCATCGTCTGGAATATTCTAACTCCTATATTCGTCAGCCAGTTCCTTTAAATATTTCTGGCATTCCCAGAGCCATATGTCACTTTTGTGTTTATCAGTACCCCAAGTGTAGCCTAGCTGTGTGAAAATATTGAATCGCTCATTTCGTTGAGTCATCAGATTCTCATTTCTCACGCATTGTAAGATTGCAAACATTTTTACCTGTATTTGGGCGTCTGTATACCTAGCATGTTCTCAGGATGACTTTTCATCGTTCACTGTCCTAGGTCTAACCTTCTTAACGTGCGATTCTTGGTGATCTGTTGGCTGAGGTATCACCCATGGAAGGAAAAGTCCTCAAAAACGCCTCATCCTGAGATGTATGTATCTATGGCAACAGTATGCATGACTTTGAGCCCACTTAGTGTCACCAACGGAGCCTATGGAATACTAGGCAACATTTCGGCGTAGGAAGCCTTGTCACTATAATCGGGGCTTCAACGTGATGGACCTTCTCTTCCTAACTATTCTTAAGATCCTCTTTGGACCATGAAGTAACCAAAGAATTGAACCCTGAGCTCACAGAGGAGTCGACTTTGAGTGAAGGTCTCCAACTGCGTACAGTCTTCCCTATATCATCGGATCAAAAGTTTCCCAGTTCTTGAACAAAAGTAAGAGTCTAGGTGCTGCAGCCAGGAAGTGGCTCATTGCTTACACAATAGCAGGATATCTTATGAATATGTCTCTTACCGAAGTCTTCAGGACCAGAAGTAGAATCTTCATCATGAGAAAAAACAATCCCTTCCTGAGCAGGTCCATGAATGCCTATTTTCAAACGATGATCAATCCAAACCAGAGGCAAAACATTCGTGCATTGCTGTACCTAGTGTATCGTCAGTTATAGTTGACTGGAAAATAACCTGATATACTGACCAATTAACCGGAATCCTTCCAGTAAGCCATTATGGCTACCGAAGGTTAAGGAACTAGACATCATCAAAAATGATCTTCAACGGAATGGCTACTCCAAAGCGATGGTGGAACAGACTTTGGCTAAAAGACAGCAGGAGCCTCGCAAAGGAAAGAAGCCGTCACAACCAGTACTTGTACTTCCCTATATCAGAGGATTATCGAATGAGAAGAATTGGGTCCAAGTATAACATCAGAACCTATTTCAGATCCGGAAACACTATCCGTAGCAGCCTCACGAAAATCAGGCCACCAATCGCGGACTACGATTTGAAGAAATGCATTTACCGGATGCCTTGTGAGTGCGGAAAATCCTATATCGGTGAAATTATGAGGCCATTGAAAGTTCGCATTGCCGAGCACAAAAAACACACACAGCGAAAGGAAACTAGCAAATCAGGTATAGCAGAGGATGTTTGGGACCCATCAACATAACATCGAGTGGTCCCAAGCTGAGTTCATACACAGGGAGGAACATTGGTTCACAAGGAAATTCGAAGAAGCCGCATACATGTTGTCCAACAACATGTATGCGGCAAGCTAGCCAAGCTAGCGTGGAGTACGCAACATATGGAAACTCATCATCAAGCGAAAAATGGCCAACCCACCAAACGGTCATCTCCCGCTAAACCGTTGAAGCGGAAAAGGAAAGCGGAGATAAGTGAAAGTACTCGAATGAACCATAAATAATAGTCATCTCTCGGAGGAATTAGTCCAGTCATCACCTGAAGACGATTGTGGATACTAACAATCAAATCGTCGTAAAGTAACTTGGCTAGGAATCCCTTAATTTTTTATTTTTTGTTCAATTTTTCTGTATTCACTTGTAATTTATGTCACTGTTATTTCATTTCAGCTATTTCCTTCAATTTTTTTTTTTTTAGTTCTTTCAGGGATTTCAAAACATTTTATATAATATCAGACAATGGAAGTCCGAACTAATGAAATTCATCGTGAAACATTATCAATCACCTTCAAACAAACAATTTCATCCTTCACTTCAACGTTTACAGGTCCCTCTAATACAGTTCTGCTGTTTTTGTCACTGATATATCCCTAAAACTATCTATCTGGTCCAAACCAGTTTCCAGGTCTGACTCACAGGCATCTTGGTTGATTGTACAAAAGTTTTGATAAAATATTGTCGAGGTACGAGACCTTCTCGTTTCAAAGCTGTTATGTCGATGATCCGAACAACTTACTCTATTGGACATATTTCATTCCCGAATATTGTCACTAACAACTTATATTGTGCACTTATAATATACCTACTACCTTACTTCTGTTATTTTTGAAGGAAGGGATGGAAGTGTATCATTATATGTTCACATCCAAGTCATTCCAAGTCATCCAAGTTCCATTAACTTTTCTTTTTTCCTGGTAGGTGATAATTTCAAACAATGCTTAAGAAGGTATGCTGATCCCATGACGGGATTTCTGAGGACCTACCTGCCTGGGAGGTTAACATGATACCCGTCATGTCTCTGGTGCAAAAGTTGATCAACGGCAAAATATTTCACCGATTCCCTTCAAGCCTTCTTGAGGATAGCTGAAGCTTCTTTCTTGTATTTTACTTCAGGTTGTACTTATTTCAAGTCGGAAAAATCTTCTTCTCTCATCTGTGGTCCATATAATCAGCACGGATATAGAGGAAGGTGTAGACCACGTACAGGTTATCTTCTGCATGAATACAAGGCTAGGTCTTTATGGCGATATCTGATGAAGTCTAGGTTCTTTTGCACGAGTCTCATAACACCACTGGAATACAACAGAGAAGGGATTCCATGGACCAATTTGACTAAAACTTATTTTTTGTTCAATTGTTCTATATTTACTTGTAATTTATTCCACTCTTATTTCATTTCAGCTATTTTCTCCAATTCTTCTTTTTTTATTAGTTCTTTCAGGGATTTCAAATCATTTTATATAATACTAGTTGTTGCCCGCGACTTCGCCTGCGTAGAATTTGGTAGTTGTAGTACTAATTAGTACTACGTTGCTATGTGACTGATGTTCCAATGTTTTGACAGAATCAGAATTAACGAACTAAGGCGTGCACAGCGTTATAGAACAGTTCTTTCAAAAAATTGTTCGACAGCGCCATTTAGTGGCGAGTTACCGAAAAATTCATAGCCTAAAAACTTTCGCTATAAAAAATTACTCATACATGTCAAGTTTCATCACGATCGGTTGAGCGATGTAAAAGTTTATCACTTACCAACCAACCAACCAACCAACCAACATCCATTTTCATACATTAGAACAGACAATGGAAGTCCGAACTAATGAAATTCATCATGAAACATTGTCAATCACCTTCAAACAAACAATTTTATCTTTCACTTTGACGTTTACAGGTCCCTCTACCCCAGTTCCGCTGTTTTTGTCACTGATATATTCCTGTCTGGTTCAAACCAGTTTCCAGGTCTGACTCACAGGCATCTTGGTTAATTCTACAAAAATTTTGATAAAATATTGTCGAGGTACGAGGCCTTCTCGTTTCAAAGCTGTTATGTCGATGATCCGAACAACTTACTCTATTAGACATATTTCCTTCTCGAACATTGTCACTAACAACTTAAATTGTGTACTTATAACTCACCTACTTTCTTACTTATGTTATTTTTGAAGAAAGGGATGGAAGTGTATCATTATATGTTCACATCCAAGTCATTCCAAGTCATCCGAATTCCATTAACTTTTCTTCTTTCCTGGTCGGTGATAATTTCAAACAATGCTTAAGAAGGTATGCTGATCCGGAATTCCTTAGGACCTACCTGCCTGGGAGGTTTATTTGGTAACCGTCATGTCTTTGGTGCAAAAGTTGATCAACGGCAATATATTTCACCCATTCCCTTCAAGCCTTCTTGGGGAGAGCTGAAGCTTCTTTCCTGTATTTCACTTCAGGTTGTACTCATTTCAAGTCTGAAAAATCTTCTTCTCTCAATTGTGGTCCATATAATCAGCACGAATATAGAGGAATGTGTTGACCACGTGCAGGGTATCTTCTGCATGAATACAAGGCTAGGTCTTTATGGCGATATCTGATGAAGTCTAGGTTATTTTGCACGAGTCTCATAACACCACTGGAATACAACAGAGACGGGATTCCATGGACCAATTTGACTAAAACTGTAACAAACCTTTTTTCATAAATAAGCCTAATAATTCTTCCTAATTTTCTACAAATTATAGATGTTTCATACCTGAATGCGAAGACCCATACACCGCAACTTACGATGCACCTTGGACAAGTTGGGCCATTCCACCGGAATCTTCTGAGAATCAGGTGATTGGAGTCCAAAGCGACACTTGCTCAAGATATCTGCCCACAAATGTATCGGAACTCAATTCCACTATCTGCTCCAAAAACAGTTTCACGAACACCATAGAAACTTGCACAGAATGGATTTTTGATGGCAGTGAAAGAACAATTGTAAATGACGTAAGTTATATTTATTCTGTTACGTGAATTCGTGTCAATATCCATATCGAATTCATTAGGATTCGCTTCGACGATTTCAGTGATGAGAGGGTTGACAGTAGTTTCCAGCATATTCAAATTGTTTCAAATCACTTCAATTTCTTCTTTCAATGGACGAGAATTAACCATTTTAGAGACTGATGACGTGGTATCTTTCCACTAGTAGAACCGAAAACTGAATGAGAATATTCTGACTGAACAATGATATTGATGTTATCGAGTTGCAGATGTATAAGCTAAAAACAAAGGCCCAAGGATAGATCCATCTGGCACTGCATTTGATACCGATAGATCATCCAATACAACTCCATCCACAACAACTTTTTGAGTACGATTTCTCGGATAATTTACTAAGAGTGGCACTGCTTTCCGAGAAAACCCAAAGTAGACAAGTTTGTCACACAAAATCGCGTGATCATTAGTGTCAAATGCTTTGATATAATCAAAGAGTACTAAACAGGCCACACTCTCATCGTCTACAGCTTTGAAAAGATCGTCGGTAATTTATAATTCTGATCTTTCAGTAACATCACTTAGCCAGAAGGATAACCAATCCAATTGGCAACTGGTTATGATGGACTTTATGAGAAAGGTGTAGCGATTCAGCAAAATAGTATCAATGAGATTGATCATTTAGCGACATATCCGGTCTGAGCCCAAAACATTGATCTTGATGCATCTTAAGGAGCTTCTAACCATCTCAATGGTGACTGCGGTAAAGTAGAAAGAATATTCAGATTCTTTCAAATTAACATTACGATCTAACAAGGGCAGTTGAGCAGTTCCAATAGGTTGAGGTATAAAATTGAAGTGCTGATAACAGATAAATCTAAATATTTTTTTGAGTAAACAGATCTATTCTTCGCCATTTTTCATATATACAGAAATCAGTTTATTTTTCTCAACACGAGTTCATAGGTGTAAATATTCACATTTACTCTTTCTAGTGGAATATTACCTGCTTAGAAAATCAATGGAAAATTTCATTGGTCGGAACTGCACATTTTACTGGAATAATAATTGCAACGGTAACATGCGGACTTCTGGCGGACAAGTGAGTATTTTTATTGGAGGTATGTCTCAAAAAAACACACTGAAGCATCCAAATATAAAATTGTCAACGTGTTGTGGGTTCAGAACATTCTAGAGTATTCGGAATAAGGCCTTTGCCTCATTCCATCGTCAGCACTTATCTTCATAGCCATAAGCATGTTGATGGGAGTGTACCAATTAAAGTTCCATTATACGATTTGTAAACATTCACTTTCAGGTACGGTAGAAAAGTAACACTCATCATCTTCACTTTCTTGATGAGTTTAACAGGAGCACTTCAAGTTCTCTCTCCTGAGTATGTTACTTTCGTCGTATTCACGTTCATCTCTTCACTAGCAACAGCAGCGGTATATCCCTTAGCTTTCATACTCAGTAAGTATCTCATTTATCTAACCTAATGTAGTTGTTTAAAAAAATACCACAGTATCAGGAAGAACACACTCTATAAAGCAACTGTCTTTCCTGGAACGGCGAACTGGACGGATGTACCAATAACCCCCTCACAATATGACTGACAATATGCTAGTACAGTAATTGATGAGGACAAAATAAGATGGGCTATATTGGGCTTTTCCCCCTTCAAGTCACCAGGGCCTGACGTTATAAGACCAGCCCTACTTCAGTGGGGACTGGACACTCTTATGCCTCACCTGGTTGGAATATTCAGAGCCTCTCTAGCTGTGAGGTATATTCCCAGTAAGTGGAGAGAAGTAAGAGTAGTATTTATACCCAAACCAGGTAGGATGGACTACACCCTACCAAAAGCATTCCGACCAATTAGTCTCACATCGTTTTTCTTAAAAACCATGGAGAGACTATGTGAGCGGTACATAAGAGATGAAGTACTTGTTAACAACCCACTTCATCCAAATCAGCATGCATATACCCCGGGAAGGTCTACTGATTCGGCCCT